TTGCGAAGGTCATCCGGAATCCTGCCTGCGTGTCTATTATCATAGTGATTGCGTACTGACGAGGTCTTGCTTCTATGTCCATCAACGCGTACGAACAGTCAAAGAAATGATCAAAGAGTAAAACTGAATCTGAAATCAAGGCAAGTGTGCTTCATTCTTATACTATCTGTTGAAAATACTCAATTTTACATAGATTCCATTGGCCATCTCAGTTTATTAACCAGTACTTACTTTGAACTTTCCTAGATTTCACTAAAATATGAGATTTGCTGGAACTTTAAGGCATATCTCCGAGAATAGTTCACTGACAGGGTCTTTTTGACGAAGTAAAAGCAAATTCCAATTTCCGATCCTGACGCCAGATTCTCCATATGTACAAAATAATTATTGCTTTACCTGCAAGGGCACTGTTTGTATCACTTTCCTGCCCTGGTGTAACCGTTATTACCGGGACATGAGGGTTGCCTTTAAGTGGATCTGTTGCTGTACCAAACATTATCAGAGACCAGTCGAACAGCATTCCTTCATTACAAGAATAAAAAAAATCAAACGGTTTTCAGTAGATGTAATAAGCCTCATTTCTGCCAACCAGCAGTAACAGCTAGAGTGTAACTCCCACATCTTTATAATCCCCCATACATACAAAGTAATACATACATATACTTTTTGGTTAAGGCAGGTTTAAGGGAGGCAACCCATGAGCTGGTGTGGACCTGCCAAAAATACTAGTGGTGGGAGGCTGACCAGTTGGCTATTTACAAAGCATGGAGGAGTTGAATCTGGGACCACCAAACACAAATCCATATAGTGGCAAGGAGGAGGATTTGAACTCGGGACCTCCGGATTACAAATCCAGCGCGCTATCCACTAGGCCACGCTGCCTCCCGAGTTTAGAGTTGAGTTGTTAAAAATGACAATTAAACTCCTAAATTTATAAGGTTTATTACACACTATATGTGCCGATGGAAAAGAGATACAGATTAAGAGTAACATGGGTGTGCAGATACAGCATAATTTAGGGACCCTCTCGTCATTTGTATTTTCACAGTATGCACACTCACCTTAAGGCTCGTGTATACACCATGAAAATACAAGTGACAAATGCAATACTCTGTGATATACCACAATATACCACAAGAAAGTGTTGCGTAATTATTTTACACCATCGCCAGAGAAGAATACAGTGGCCAACACAATCAATGCAGCACAGATTGGGAGGGTTGGGTGACATACCGTCCGGTATACATGGCTTTCTTGTATTCTGATTGGACGTATTTTCTATGGCATGGTATTTAATACTATTTTTAGATCCCCAATTAGGTTCTGTAATGAAACCAGAACAAAAGACACGTTAATAAAGTTTTTATTGCTAGTAAAAACCAAAGGTTAGGAAGTGCGGGCGAGGACGATGCATTGTGCTTTTGAGTTAATAAAAATGTAATAGAGTTGTACTAAGTTGTAATCAGTAGTGCATTGAGACTGATGGTTCCGTCTCTTTTACAACATCGAACTGATTTGGTAGAACGACCACGCATTTTTCCTAACGTGTCTGCTTCATACAGCTAAACGAGACAATTCCGCACCTTTGCTGACGAAGGGTTATTAGTAATGTTTTGTTTCTATTTCAAATCGCAGCGAGCACATTAAATAGTCGTAGGATTGTTTCAACGAAAGACCTGGACTTACATCTCGATGGCTTCGCGGTGCTTGGTAAGATTTTTAGAGAAACACAAGGCTTGCACGTGATAGGCCGTGATAGCTTACACTGTATTTGCCGAGATTTCACCGTGATAGCTCTGTGTTTTGAGCGAAGCTTTACAATATAGTTGACTTATTTCGTGGTGAACAAAGTGGTTCAGAGGTATAACTGTGGCAAAACTGTGCGATGTTTCATAAACAAACCGAAGTGAGTGACAGGCTGACAGCTGGTGTGAAATTATGCACAAACGCACGACGAAAAATCAAAAGCTTCTCTTTACCTACGTAAAAGCAGCGGTAAAAACGTCACCGTATCACAATTATACACCAAAACAATCTTTTGTAAGGGTAAAAACTATTAATTATTATTATTATTATCATCATCATCATTATTATTATTGTTATTATTATTATTATTATTATTATTATTATTATTATTAAAGGTGTCGGGCTGTGTAGCCGACATAATCTGCATCGCACATATCAGATACAAAATGAAAAACAACGCAACGGCTCTACGCCTCTCTAGATACCAATAGAAGATACCAAACAAAACTCCTCGCATCGTGAACTCGGGCGGCCTGTGCACCGCATTAAAAACAAAAGAACAAGCTTACATTTTGGCCTGTAGGCAATTTTAAAGCTTCCATTCGCTTTGTTCTCGCTCGCCCAAAGGGAAATTCGCTTTGGTTTGCAAAATTTTTATAATTCAGGCTCAGCCTCTACCTTTCAATACCACTGTCAAATACGATAATACATTCACTGCTACGTTCTGTTTGTTATTTTCAATTTATTGACCGAAAAGAAAACAATAAAAATTTCAGTTTTAATGCAACACGCGTAGTTAGGTGATATCTAAAACGATATAAGCGCATGCGGTGTTTACTCATGTACTGATTTCAGTGCGGATCCAGAGCTTGAGCTAAGGGGGGCGGTTTTGTTTTGCTTGCCCTGCCGGCTTTTCTTCCTTCTGTGATTTCTTCTTTGTTACAGGTGTTCTTTTTTATTTTTTTATTTTGGCGACCGAGGGAAGAAGAAAAAAGAACGCCTGATACATTTACCTCGCCCGCCGCCCTTTTGCTGCTTACCTGTCAACAGCGATGTTATCTTATGTCAAGCTATAAATGCGAACCAATCAGATTTTCACCGGAAATTCATACAGCCAGTTGGAAGCGCGAAAGCGACAAAGCATAATGTACAAGTTTACTCGCCAGGTAACGGGAATAGCAAGTTGAAATATCTCTTAAATTCGTTAAGAAACAAAAAATTCGGAGGAACATCAGAATCTTTTTATTGGAATTGATCCAAAGAGTGGGAATAAACATTACAGCAGATATACCCTTGGGGTATGGTTAGGGTTTTGGTTAGTAGTAGTAGGCCTCCGTCGGTCAGGGTTGACCATGGGTAGCATCCTAGTTGTCTGCTTGGCTGGAGCACCGGTGTCTGTGGCTGTAGAGGTCGATGCGTGAGTGACAGTCTATGTTGCAGAGGCTGCATTTGTGTTCTGTCTCTGGTCTGTGGCGGCTTGTGTCAGCTTCTCCTCCCCTGATTTGAGGTGTTTGGTCAGGGCTTCTCTCCACTTGGNCAGAGGCTGCATTTGTGTTCTGTCTCTGGTCTGTGGCGGCTTGTGTCAGCTTCTCCTCCCCTGATTTGAGGTGTTTGGTCAGGGCTTCTCTCCACTTGGACCGGTTGGCTGCCAGGCTCTGCCAGGACTCTGTGTTAATGTCTACAGCCTTCATGTCACGCTTCACAATGTCGCGGTATCACAGCTGTGGCCACCCTGTGGGTCTTTTTCCACAGGCCAGCTCTCCGTACAGGAGGTCTTTGGGGATGCGGCTGTCTGGCATGCGGTGGACGTGGCCTAGCCAACGGAGTCTGCGCTGTCTGAGCAGTGTGAATATGCTGGGCAGACCTGCGCGAGACAGGACCTCAGTGTTGGGCACCTTGTCTTGCCACGATATTCCCAGGACGCGGCAGAGGGTTCTCATGTGGAAGGTGTTCAGACACCTTTCTTGCCTGGCGTGCGTGGTCCATGTCTTGCTCCGTATAGCAGTGTGCTGATGACACAGGCATTGTACACTGCCATCTTGATCTTCGTTGTCAACTTGGGGTTGGTCCACACACGTGATGTGAGGCATGCAAGGGTTGTGGCTGCCTTCCCGATTCTCTTATCAAGCTCTGTGTCTAGGGAGAGGTTGTTAGTGATAGTGGAGCCAAGGTATGTGAACTGATGCACTGCATCGAGCTCATAGTCGTCAATAGTGATGACTGGTGTTGATTTGGTGCCTTGTCCTAGGACGTTGGTCTTTTTCAGGCTGATGGTCAGCCCAAAGTCTCTACAGGCCTGGGAGAAGTGGTCCATGAGTGACTGAAGTTCGCGCTGGGTGTGGGTTGCTACTGCCGCATCGTCAGCAAACAGCATGTCTCTGATAAGGGCTTCGCGTACTTTGGTCTTGGCTCTGAGGCGGGCAAGATTGAAAAGCCTGCCATCTGATCTCGTACGCAGGTAGATCCCTTCTCTTGACGTGCCAAATGCATGCTTCAGAAGAAGAAGATCCCGAAGAGAGTTGGCGCGAGGACACAACCCTGTTTGACCCCGCTGCAGATGTTGAAGGGCACCGAGGTGCTGCCGTTGAACTGTACGGTCCCCTCCATGTTGCTGTGGAAGGACTCAATCAAGCTCTGCAGCTTGGGTGGGCAGCCAATCTTGGGCAGGATTCTGAAGAGGCCCTCTCTGTTGACAAGGTCGAACGCCTTCGTGAGATCGATGAAAACGACGTACAGGGTGATCTGCTGTTCCCTGCACTTCTCCTGAAGCTGGCGAAGGGAGAAGACCATGTCTACCGTTGATCTTTCAGCTCAGAAACTGCACTGTGACTCTGGGTAGACACGTTCGGCAAGTTTCTGCAGATGGACCAAGATGACCCGTGCAAAGATTTTGCCCACGATGCCGAGAAGCGGAAATGCCTCTGTAGTTGTTACAGTCGCTACGCTCGCCTTTGTTTTTGTAGAGGGTGACGATCTTGGCATCCCTCATGTCTTGTGGAGCAGCCCCTTCTTTCCAGCACTGGCAGAGGACTTCATGCAAAGGAAGCAGTAGGGTAGTCACGCAGTGCTTGATCAGGTCGGGGGGGATCCCGTCACTGCCTGGGGCTTTCTCTGAGGCCAAGCTGTTGATGGCCTTGTTAAGTTCCTCTGTGGTTGGTTAAGTGTCAAACCAGTCGTGTGACTTCAGGGTCTTTCTCCCAAAGGTGGCCAACGCTGTGCGGTGCATGGTATCCCGCAGGGTAGCCCACTTCTCCATGGCAGAGTCTCTCGTCTGTGAAGTTTTCAGGTCAATCTCAAACCTCCCAGCAAACTGCTCCATAAGGTCTGGCTGGCTCAACTTGCTGACATCAATGCGAGGATTCCCTTGCTTCTTGCCACGATGGTACCTCTTGGGCAGGAGCTTGATCTTGCAGCACACCAAGGAGTGGTCTGCATCGCAGTCCGCGCTGTGGTAAGAGCGTGTGTGGAGAATGTTCTTAACGGCGGTTCGTCTGACCAGAATGAGATCCAGCTGGTGCCAGTGTTCAAATTTGGTCGTTATGTAATAGTACATGCCATATGTTACGTTAGCCTGAACGTTCGCATAAAAAGGAAAAAAAAAGGATAACATTGAGAGCTTGGGCCGCCTGTGTGTTAACGTAGATGTAAACGTAGCAAAATTCGGTAAAAATTATTTTCATTCAATTAAAATATATTTGCATTTGATAAAAATATTTTCATTCGATAAAAATGTATTTTTATTCAATAAAATATATATTTCTATTCGATAAAATATATTTTCATTCGATAAAAAATGTATTTTTATTCAATAAAAATAATTTTCGTTTGATAAAATGTTTTCATTCAATAAAACATATTTCCATTCAGTAGAATATTTTCATTTGGTACAAATATTTTCATTTGATAAAAATATTTTTTCGTTCAATAATCTCACGTGACTCCAGGAAGCATGGTCACTTGGGAGGTGTGAGGCACACCTCACAACTGTGTCAACTGCACATGTTTTTGACACTTTTAGGAATCAATTGGTAGATAACACTCTTGCAACATCATGTCAGAAGCATCGCTCAAACTTCCTCTTTTAAACAGATGATCTTCCGGATGCATTCAATGGTGAATAAATTCTTGAGGAGACGAAGTTATAGCCACTGAAGATCACGGCCCCTGGGCTGAAAATTCAGTGTATATAAGTATAGCTATCTGATATCTCTGCGGCCTGGACATAAGCAAGGTAAGTTTGTGAGAAAAGGCTTTGAGATATTACTATCACTCACGATGATATTAAGGTTTTTATCGCACATGTTCTTGTTTTGCTCTGGCTTGATTCAGCTTACTACTGGGAATCGACGGGAAACTTAACGAACAGAGTAAATTTTTGTTAGAAAGTTCGAAGGAAAATTCGAGAAAGGCGAATTTTCGCTTGAAAAATCGGGCCAAATTATCGGTAGACACGAATTACCACTCGAAAATTCGTGTCGACTGAAACAATGGGCAGCGGGAAAATTCGTTGAATTTTCTTCGGACTTCCGAGGTGAACAAAACCTCACCATTTTTCGTCGGAAAGCCCAGAAACTCGCCAATTTCGTCGAATTACACTCTCATTACATTTACACAATGCTGTAAATATTTATTCCCCTCAGTGTTCGCGGATAGTTTATTTGCATACAATGGTTCTTCCTAATTCAAGATACGTGTTATTACTTTAATCATCTGTTCATCATGAACAAATTGAGGCTGGAATAATTTGATACACTTTTCTCATTTAAGTAAAAAGTCTAAAGTAAGCCCAGTCTAGCAGGTCAATAAGCTGGCCGGTAATACGTCAAATCGTCTGATAAGTAATAGTAATTGGACCGAGTGGAGTACAATTCAGGGAGTAATTGCGTGAGTGATTTCGAAATCAGACGAGCGCAAAGGCCGATTTGAAAATATGAGCGCGATTACTCCCTGAATTGTACGACATGAGGTCCAATTACTAATTAATTGTATCTATAACAAATTTTGGAATTAAAAATGTCTTTTGGGAAGTTCTTTTGAGCGAAAACGTCTGTAGCATTTTTCATAAGTTTTAAAAACTGTAGGAAACATTTTGAAGGAAGCCATTAAAGCACGCAAAATTGACGTGAAAATCACGTGGGTATCCAATTATAGGTATCCAATTACAAAAAGTTCAAATTGGATACCTGTAATTGGACACCCACGTGATCGCACGCCCATTACGCGACAAATAGGCGCACAGAGAACCAATCATGATTGAGAATTTTGTTATAGATACGATTAACCTGAGAACGATTCACAGCGATTTCTAAGTCTGTGTAGCAAGAAGCCAAGAAGTGTAAAATTTCACGTTATCGGGAAGCGAAATCGTTAACCTCCCGTTATCATAACTGAACTTTTAAAACATGTTATGCAAAACCATCTTATTGAAACCACTTGTTATTACAGCTGCAATGTTCGCCGTTTTGACACTGTCTGATGGCGGTTTTCAGTCGCTCTGTTTTGATTGTAACCGCACTAAAAAACGAATGGCCCGAGAATTAGGAAACTTCACCCATTACTTGTTCCTTTTCCAGTGTCTTGCCCAGTATTTTGTGCAGTGTTTTGCGCTCTTAACCATAACGGGAAGAAAATTTTAGTTTAAGATGCCCTTCCCTCTCATGGTGTTCACTGGACAATGCCAATGTTTGAAAAAGCAGACTTACTCGTGTGATGTCAAACAATCCCTTCATTTGAAAGAAACATCAACATAACATGACATGACATAAACATAACATAAACATAAAATAGCAATGGAAATTATAACCTGTATTCTCATGTTCAAGTCGGGAATTCTTTAGCGAGAGCATCCAAATACCAGAAGGGTTTTCACCCCAGTGATGCAAAGTCAGAACTTTCCAGTTAGTCAAGGATGTTGCTCTTTGAAAACTGCCCTTTGAACGACGTTGAATGAGACGAGATATTGTTCCCTGAGGTGAGGTAAGATTAACCTCCAGGTCTTCTGCAATTGTGTAGTTAAGGCTTAGTCGAACCTGCACATGTTCCAAGAAGTTTATCTCTGGACATAAATTAGCAACGTCTTTCAGAGAAGTGGTTACCTGGAGAGCATCAGCTGAAGGAATAACCCTGGAATAAATAATCAGAAATTTGTTAAATATGATTATAATATGTTTCACATCTTGTGTATAGCATTTATTTAGCTATAGATACAGTCGAACCTCCACTTGCGGCCACCTCTCCACAGTGACTGCCAACACAGTGACTCTCAACAATGGCCACGTAACTGCGAAGCGGGAGTCCGATTTGTTAATCACGAGTGTGATTACAGTCCGAATTGGACGACAAGATGTCCGGTTACCAATTAATCATAACAATTACAATTTCCCACAAAAGTAAAAGTTTCATTTGAAAAGGAGATTTTAATAGTCATTTTTAAATGTCATAATTAAAATATGGAGAGTAGCTTGCAAAATGGCTGTTAAGTTTCTTTGAAAACAGTCACCAGAGACTAAACCTCGACAGTTTTACAAAGTCAGTCTCTTGAATTGATTACTATAGTGACTGTAATCAATGTTGTTATTGATGGATTTAGTGGAAAGGACTTACAGTGATTCGCTCATGTAACTGTCCGATTACAGGTGTTCGATAACAGCCAAATGTCCGATTACACTGTCCGATTACACTGTCTGATTACAACTTTGCAGATTAATTAGAACAAAATACAGCAGTTTATGCACCAATCACATTTGAGGAAATTGTAATTGTTATGATTAATAGCGAATTAGCAAGTGCATTGTATTGGTATTGCGCGTCTACAATGTCATAACCGAAATTTCCAGCAATTAACAGAGAGCTAGAAATTCGTTTTGCAAAGGTTCCAGTTCAGAAAATTGCACACATATCATTGTGTTCCTGGTCAGCAGTGACTCACAGCGATGAATCTTAGCTCAGACTTGCTTGCCAACTCCATTATGTTAGTTTAGAATCCGTAATTACTAGGCGTGGTTTACCTCTAATTTGGTTTGTTGGTGTTCACATTGGTTTTTAACCCACATTTTGCGCTTTTAGTCCATTTGGTGGCAGAGGGGTTATTGGTAGACGGGGATCGATTCTTTGGATCTATACTTTCAAAAAATGTCTACATGTATCTTGGCGAAAAGGGCTTTCTGTGTGGTTATGCTGTAGGTGGAAAGACTTCCCCTTCTCAACGCTTATGCTCACAAAAAATAATTAATCTCTTCTTTATCATTGCCGACCAACCCATAGACACCAGGATGCACTAATTTAGTCTTTCTCTGTAGTTTTAATGGCATAGATGCTCCACACTGTGGCAGTGGGTGTCAGAGAGGTTTATTCTAGACTGTGATCACTTCCTCGGGTCTATACTTGCATATCATAAATTTCTCTCTTGGCCTAAATGGCTTCCTGTGTTGTTGCAGTGTAGAAGGGGAAGGTTAAATGATGTTGAAAAACAATCATGGATCTTCATTTAGTGATTTTAACGCCAGTTTAATAGTTTCCAATTGTGTAATCACCTACAGAAAACATAGACACTCATAGACTACCTGAAAGCAAAAATCACTCAAGTAAGAGATACATCATGGAAAAATGGCGTCGTTAAACTGTCAGGTATTGGATTTCCTGGGGTTGGATAGCCTGCGAGCAGGCTTACGTTGGAGCACAAGTGCGCAGCCTGAGCACGAGCGTGAAATCGAGTGGGGAAGCTGCGAGACGAGAAAGTGAGCGTGCTCTGATCTCCGCAAATGTTTTATTTCCAACCCGGAAACCGCAGAAAAAATAAGCCAACTAATTTTCATCGGAAGTATGAACTTTGGCAGCTCAGATTTCCCGGGAAAATTGTAAATCTTTTTCATAACAGCATGCAGGTGCGATATCCGCTGCGGATAAAGTTTTGGCGAAGAAAAACCTTCCCAGCTAATTCTAGTAAGGACACACACTTGATTCCAAGTGATCTTGCTTTGGCAGTCTGGTCTTTGATGATGCTGGTAAACGGACAAACGCCTTCGTGTTGTTTCGTTGCCCGCTTATAGTCGGCAACACAGCAAGTACGTCTTGATTCATTGACATACTTTCAACTGCTATGTCCTGCTCCCACTTTAGTTTAAAATTTAACCAGAAATAGACTGGAACTTTGTTAAAACATCAGTAATACGCGCACTCAACTCTTCCTCTGACTCCAAATGTGAACGACTTATTTTTTATTGTGAGAACGTTCGGTAAATTACTGACTCCATGGGGATCTAATCGCTCCTCGTCAAACATAATAGAATGACAGTTTTCTCGCCTTCCTTGCTTTTCGGCCAATGGTATTTCACTTCGCTCAGGCGAGGCAGAAATGAAAAAAAAAAACCAAAAAAACAGAGATCAAGGCAGGCTCACTTTCTTGTAGCCTCTTCACTAGACTCCTTCTCGTCAGATCGCTCTGCTCTTCGCCGCTCACGCGCGTGACTCAACGGTGAGCCTGCTCGCAGGCTAGGGGTTGGAAAACTCTAGTGTACGGTACAAGTAGAAGAGGTATTTACAAAGACTCCTAAACAGTAATGCTTAGGCTAATCCAACAGGTTTGTTTGGTAACGATGTACAGTCAAGAAAAAACAAGAAGATATTAAAAAAGATTGGGAATTTCAGGGATCCATATTCGCAGTCATCCGGTCGTCCGTGACGACTAAAAAATCGTAGGGATGACCAAAACAATACGGAAACTCGTCCGCTGGACGAGTTTAGTTTGACTCTACCCGAAAAAAAAAGTTCTTAGATTTTCTTATGAGTTTCCTGCATTCTGACCACTTGTTATCCATTTGGAGCTTGTAGAAAACAGAGAGAGATTTGAACCTTTCTTTCGCGATAAAATCGTCACTTTGGTCCGCCATCTTGGATGACGTGTGAATGAAATCACTGCAGACTCAGTTTTCATTTTATCAACCGCTGATGCTCTGTACTGCATCTGCATCAGCGATTTTGGTCGTTTCGATCAGGATATGGCGTTTAGTAATGTTAACATTTCGGATAAACAAGCTAAATACGAGCAGGAAGAGCGAAAACGTTCCTTTCAGCCTTCGTGACAGTTGAAGAGGCCTTGATTTTCACTTGTACCTGGTTTTTCTGTGACCGCCGACAGCCGCAACTATGGACATGAGGTACTGGCTGATTGGGAACATGAAAATAACAAACACGTAAACTTTCCATTTACATGCTGTTCAGTTGCAACCCCTAGGATTTCACGGTAACGATCGTTTCCGTTACCGTGTCGTTACTGTGATTCAGAAATAACGGAACCGAAAAACCATTTGCCACTGATATCTTCAGTCTTAAAGATCAAAATTTATTTGATAAAAGGTTTTTTTTTTCTTTTCTTATTCTCAACAAGAGGAGTAATTCCTTTGATTAGGACTCTGATTATATATGAAACTAAAACGTTGTTCCACCATATTGTATCCATCCCAAAGTGCACCGCATGGTATGTGAACGGGCAAGTAAAATTTTGCCAGGGCAAGTATATCATCTGGTATACTTGCCTGGCTGATGACTTGGAGAAAAAACCAATATGGATCCCTGGACTTTATGATGCACTAGAACTTTACAAACTTCTGGAAATACGTAGACAACTATGAGGAATCCTGATTTCTACTGACTGATTAATACAACTGATATAGATCAATTCAAATTAATTTTGCTGATTGTTACCTGTACCTGTTTATGTTTGATTGATGATCGACACCGATGAGAAAACGTTTATGTATGTGGTAGCACTGGAGAGATTTCAAAGTATCGATTTTAAAAACTATTGTATAGAAAACGCAAATAACAAAGTTATTTGTGCTTGCTAATAATCTGTACTCTTTAGTGATACTGCTCTCTGACCTTAAACCCCACATTTGCTGTCCTTAACCAATAGTTAGCTTTAGGTCAGGGAAAAAGAGTTCAAATGCTAAAACAGATTTTCAGATTAACACACCTAATAGAATAATATACAAAACACACCTGTCAATATGAAGATAAGGTATCGTGCAAGTAAGTTGTGGTGCTACTGTTGTCCAGTTCATTGCCAAGGAAACTAGTCCATAAGCATCCATCAAGCCAAATCCAACATAATTACTAGCTGTAAATGGAAATGACATAATCAGTCAAAACGTAGAAGATATATTACACAGGATTTGAATTCCTCTTGATTAGGGACCGTTCATTTTTTATAAGGTAGGGGGGGCTGGTGGGATTTGGGGGGGGGCCATGCGAAAAAAAATGGCTTT